ATATATATATATATCTATGTGTGTGTGATTTGAAGAGAGAGGCTATCATGATTTAAAATAGGTTTTTAATATAATGACAACTATCTTATCTTAAAAAAAAACATCACTAAACCACAAGAAAAAAAAGGAGGGGTTTCACGAGCACATGCCCCAAGAGTTAGAACTGATTGAAAGAGAACGAATGAGACAGAGAAAGAACAGTGTAGATAGAATTCTATGGAGAGGAGTTGGGGGAAGAAATCATTTTATTGACCCTTAGGCTCTCTATTTATAGGAGTTTGTTTACTTTGTTATGGAATGGGGGGACCATTATGAAAATTGTATTTAATACAATTAATGTGCTAATTAATATCAAATTTATATTATTATTGGAATGTGGTTGGCGAATCAACATGCTTTCGCTCGGTCGGCCGAAGCAACCGGCTGCGTGATTGTCGCTTCTACCAAGATAGATCAGTCGGCTAGTCTTGATCGGTCGGCCTTTTTGAAAGACTCAGCAGTTAGAACCGTAAAGAAGTCTGTCAGCTAGATCCATCAGTACTGAAGATCGATTGACTCGATCAAGCTATTGGTCCTCAGAAGACCGGTTCAAATTAAGCTTTGTGAACTCAATGCTTTGATTGTTGAGCCATTATCCTTAATCGTTCGATCGTTTTTTGATTCATGATGACACTTTTAGTAGAAGAAAATTGAAAAAAAATTAAAAAAAAAATGCTGCATTATGCTCCAGTATAAAACAAAAACCCAACCAACCTCTCACAAAACAAAAGGCCAAGAAGAAAAATATATAATAAAAGAAAAAAAAAATTTCCCAAATCAACCATATGAACTTAAATTTAATAGAACCAGACAAGACTTATCAAAACAAACTCACATGAAGTAGTGACCATGTTGTCTCACCTTTCAAAATTTAAAATAGTAAGCCCTTGGAATAACTCATAGTCAAATCAATGGAAATACATGAGAAGACAAAAATGTCAACTATCATTCATTAAATTCAAGTGATCATGAAGCACCCAACATTAAGAAAGAGTTATGGAATGGAGACACATAATTTTATAATGTGTTTTTTTTTAATATAATTATTATTAAATTTACATAATTAATGTAGATTAATGCTTCATTAATGAGGATAATCATTGGAGACAATTGAAATTTCATCAATCTATAATTTTTTTTAATTAAAGTTCATAGTGGGACCCAAATAATTAAAAGTGCCAAAATATAATGAATTTTAAAATAATTATTAATTGAATTAGCTAAAAACTTGATTTTTTGTTGTTGTAATATTTTAATTGAGAAAATTAAAGGATATCTCTTAAGATGCTTTTTAAATTTTTTTTTTTAATTTAAGGATAATTATATACATAGCACTCGAAATATTGCTATTTAAAAAAATAATATTCAGGTAATTTTTTTATTGAGAATTTAAGAAAAATAAAAAAATAAACTGATTTTTTATCATGAATTTTAATATTTGAGTAAGAATTTAAAAAATTTATAAATAAGTGCTAGATTTGTAAATAATAACGTTTCAAGGGCATTTTATTTTATAAACTTTTAATGATTTACTTATTATTTATTGCAAAATATAAAATTAACTAGGTGAAAATTTTTATTTAATCAATAATTAAGTTAAAATAAAATTTATCTTTTCCAAACAGCAGAAAGGGGTATGCATGTAAATATCAAATTTGGAATGGTAAATATGTAAATACATAAGAATTATGCGGAATGTATGTACATGGCCGATCTTTTGCATGGGCCCGACCGGTTCCCAGTTCACGTGGTGGACCGCACAGAACCGCGAATGAAACAGACGAGAGGCCGGTCAACAGACGACATGGTCCGTGTTTGCTGGGCCCACAACCGCCGGCCCATGTTCTACGTCTGGTGTCAGTGCGGCGCAGGCCGCCGCCGGGTTCGGCCACCGTATTCTTCGTTGGTATCAGCGTTTCCGTATCCACACAATGGGTACAATCACCGAAGATAACGGAAACCAGTTTGGAAAGAGGAAATAATTAATATGCTTGGGATGTATTTCGATCAAATTTTTAATAGATCTGACAAATATTTTAAAATTTATAATTATATTTTTTTTTAAAAAAATATTTATTAATTAATATATTTTATATTTTTCCTCAAAATAAATTCAATGAGAAGACTAATAAATATAATTTAGTTTCCTTATTAAGAGAAATGACTCATATTTCCAAAATATATTCATTCTGTATACATCAAAATAACCAGCACGAATCTCAAAGTATTTGGAACAGTCCGGATGACGGCCAGATAACTAAGGCGTCTCGCCGCCCTACGTGTGGTCAAGAATCGACCGACACACCATGGTGGGAAATTTAAACGGCAGACCAAGCCGACAGTCCCTACTGACCGGGGCGTAAGCGAGAAACCTCGATCACGGCTAATCCACCGACCGCCTTTACTGTGGCGGACGAGATCAACATTTGACCAGACGTCTAGGTCGATCGACACGTACTTCAGAGAGGCACATTCGTCTCTCAGCTGGAGGCAGCCATTCAATTACGACCATGTTAAATTTAAATTATAATACAAATATAGTATGAAATACATACAATCAATAAGGGCATTCATTATATTTAAAGCGATTTCCACAATTGTTCACTTATTTATATAATTGTACAAAATACACTCCTATAAATATAAGGCAAAAATACGAACAAATGGACATTTACCAATTCACTCTACAAGAAACTCCTGACTTGCTATTATCCCTCTCTCACTCTCTCTTCCTTCCTTCACTCAATCATAAACTCTTTGGGCATATTCACAGAGGACTATTTAGGATCCAACATATTCAAACACTATCATAGGCGGGTCATAAGTCACTGATGTGAAAGCTGGACAGTTGTGTTTGGTAGCAATAGACAATGCAAAAATTTTACTGAAAAATTATGACATGAATCATTTAAATTATTATTTAAATGTTATGTCATATGTGGAAGAAGCACTTTGTATTGTATGAATACAATGAAGGTGTGCAAAGAGTGTCAACACCGACAATCATGTTACGGATGAATACATGCCAAAAAAACTTATTCATGAAAATGTTATTTTTGTCGTAGTATTGATTATATTGCTTATCAATAATGTCAACATTATTAGTTTTATTTTGAGACAAGTGAGATATTAATTTTAACCAATTATTTATATAATAAACTTATCTCAAATAAATACCATATTTTTTTAAGATTTAACTTCTTTAAAATTTGACTGAATAATCATCTTATAAATTTCTAAGTTGGAAGTGGCATATATTTACATTGCTACTAATGATTATGATATTGATTTAGGCGGGTCAAAACTTCTCCAATGGTTGCTCTAGAGGAGTCTCCCACCATTCGGTTGAACAATGGCGCAATAAACACAAGTAATGTGCTGCAACCCATAGTTCATTAAGGGCTCGTTTGGGGCGACTTATTTGTGCGGGCAGTGTTTTAAAAACGCCACCCAAATGTTAGTTTCATGCATTCATCCCTCAATTTAATTTACGTTGTTTTGGTTTAACGAATAAAAACGGCCGCGTTATCTGCTCCACGGCACGCATTCACTCGCATGTTTTATACCCCCACCGCCCTCGACACCCTCTGCCATATCATGCTACTCATCTCTCCCATCTCGCCTCGCCGCCGCCCGTCCCGCCTGTTCCATCAGGCTCTGGTCATGGGAGAATTGGCACCAGCGCAACAAAGTTAAGGTTCTATAACCCCATGATCACTTGCTCTTCAAGTATCCCTATTCTCATATTCGGCAGGACAATATAAAATAAAACATCAATCGATGCTTTTATGTAATTTGAGTGAATTGGGTGGTTTAAATGTAACAAAATAAACTTTTGATGCTACATATGCAAATACATAATTGGGCGTTACATATGTATATGCTGCAACACAAGTCTCTTGGTGGGTGGGTGTGTGTGTGTGTGTGCACGCGCGCGCTGAAAGCCTTAGTCTGTTGGTGGCGGGGTCACTGTAAGTCCTCTCAGGTCAAGAATTCAACCCCACCGAGGCGCGGAAGCTTTGAAATTTTAGGCACACGGCACATGCTCTCATTATGGGGTCAAAAAGCGCAGAGAACCAAATATAGATTTTCTTTTCAAAAAAAAAAAAAATATATATAGATATATAAATATATAGATATATATAGATATATACACACACACACACACACACAACAATTAAGCATATGCTAATTTCCTTCAAATGCCAGTTTATAGCAAATCATAGCTACTTCTGCTCTCTATTTTATAATGTTTAAAAATAAAATAAAATTAAAATTAAAATGCCAATAGAAGCGTTTATCTGCGAAATAACCTTTTTTGGCGAATAAAGAAATTAAATATTGGCAATAAATTGTCAGTGGTTTGTGGCCAAAGCTGTCACCAAGAGGCCAAGTATTAAGAAAGGTTGAGCGCTGGCCTGTTCATATATATATATATGGATCAAAACGATGAATATATTAGGGGCTTGAGGATAATTACATAAACAGCACTCAAAAAATTCATATTTATAAAATTAACACATGATTTTTTGAATTGCCGAACTGATGCATTTACGCTGGCCACGATGAACCATTAAGTATTTGATAAAAATGATAAAAAAAGGGTTGGGGATTTCATAATTAATTTTAATATTTGGGTGAGAATTTGAAAAATGGAAGTAAGAGGGAGGTAGATTTGTAAATAGCAATGTTTCAAGTGCTTTGTATGTAAGAAATTACCTGATATTTAACGTCGTACTTTATAGGATCCTTCAGGAAGTACTGGAACTGTAACAAGGATGGAATTGAGCTTAGAAATTTATTCATATTTTATTTTATTAAAAAGCTAGTAGCATTAAGATAACAAATGAGAAGACCCTGAGTAAATATAACTGATCTTGTTTGATTATTTACATACATACCGCACAATTCTTATATATTTACATATCTAACAGCTGAACTTTTATATTTACATATATAACGCTCAAATCTTTAATATGACATCAAAAATATCGCTATTAGTAAGTTTTAAAAGAAAAGTGCACCTTCTCTAGCATAGGTCTATGACACTGAGCATTATAAAAATATGAAAATTTAGATTTTAGATATGTAAATACTTAATAATTGTGTGGTGTGCAGGTAAATCTCCATGATTTTATGATTTGTTCTCATGGTTCTGATTCAAGAGCCATTAATGGCAACCATAGCTTCCATATAATAAAAACTCTAAGAAAATCCTTAACAGGAATTCTGTCTTTCTGGTAGATATAGAAGAATAAATTGATTTGAATGATAATTATTATTATATGGGAAGAAAATTGCAAACAGTACAAAAGTGGATTTCTAACCTGGAAAACCACCTGGGGAATTATTAATCCCAGCAGAGCTAAGGCATAAAACGGCTTTCCTGTACCGAGCAGATAACCTGGCATGAAAGCAAATAGAGTTTTCATAAGTACCATTAAAGCAAATAGCTTTGATCAAGATGCTGAAATAAATATTAGTATAATCGGGTTGCTGAGTAGTAGCACGTGGAATTCAGGAAAATATTTCAAAGCATGGTTTTCGCTGCTTTCAAAGGCCGGGAGTAATTGAATTCATCATCCGGTCACTGCATGTAATAAAACAATAAAGATTAAGAGTTTTTTTTCCGAGTCCCAAATGCTTGTATTGTAACCGCCCGGATTTGTGCTAGCCATGGACCAATGAGATCGAGCCGACTAGTGCTGAGATTGACCATGAAAGACCATATCTACTGATTCTAGCTAGGGGTGAACACGAGTCGAGTCGAGCTCGAGCAACTCTCGACTTGAGTTGGAGCTTGATTAATTGATCGCGTTCGAGCTCGAGCTTAATTCCACGAGTTCAAGCCGGTTTGTTTATTATGAAAGAGAAAACAATATTGTGATCATTCGTGGTGAAAGGGGTCAATTTCTTTGTTTTGAGGGTGATCAACTCCGACATTGGCATATTGGATTTATCGATGCAAGCAATCCACTCTATTCGGCAACTTATGCAGCTTTGGCTGTTGGAAGTCAGGGGTATTGTGGTGGAAGGTGATAATATTAATATTATCAACTTTTTGAGGAAAACTTTGGTTCAGGGGACGTGGCAGGACTTCCCAAACCACAGCCTCAGTTTTGATTTTCTTGTTTCTTTTAGACATGTTATTTTTCATTTTGTTCCTGGGGAGCTTAATCGAGCAGCCCATTTTTGTGCCCAAAGAGCCCTTCCTCATATTTTTTCTCTTTTGTCGGCCTCTGATTCCCAGAAGCTTGTAATAGTCTCCGTGAGGATAGAACCTATGTTGATATTGCCTAAGGGCATGGTGTTGTTCCTCTGTATTCTTTTTTTTTTTTTTTTTAATAATACATTTGCATTCTTTCAAAAAAAAAAGAAAGAGAAAAAAATATCAATTCAAGATAATGTTATGAGAAAATGATAAATAGCATGAGTAATTCCTAGATAAATAATAAGAAATCACTTAATATAAAATATAAAATATTATTTTTAAAAATATTTGTAATAATTTAAAAATAAAGTTTTGAATCTTAAAATGTTATGAGCATATTTATATTAATTGCTTTTTAAATGAACAAACTCACAAGCTAATGAGTCTAGTCATTGATGACTCAGTTCACGAGCCACTTATCAAGCCGAGCTTGAGCCAGCTCACGAGTTAGCTTGGCTCGTTTACAACCATGATTCGGGCATTAAATTGGTAGCCGGCGAACATTACTAACTAGCTCGATCAGTCACTTGAGAGTTCAACTAACTTCATTGAATGGGTTTGGCGACTACAAGAATTGGATCCAAGTGATCAAGTATTGAGTGTGTTAGGATATGTCATCTATAGTAAGTTGATTGGTAAGGTAGGTTGGTTGGGGACCGAGTAGCATGGAGTCAACAAATCGACCAACTGGCTCATTGAATCGGCCAAATAGCAGGTCTTGAGTATACACATTTATGCAGCTCACTATGTGATTTGATACCATCAAATCTTATATAATGAAGACTAATATCTTTATTAACTTTTAGAATCGTAGGAACAAAAGTGATTAACTCAATACATTAGCATTGACTGCAGGGCTTATACACTCTCCTAAACATTCAAGTAACCATGAAATCACATTAGATAGTTCATGGCAAGTGCAACGAAGATCAAGATGTGTTTCAAGGTTATGGAGGCTTCTTAATGTCATTGTGATTCATTAAGAAGAAATTACAGACTTAGTCAGAATAAGCTAACAATGGATTCTATTAGCTAAAAATGCTATTAAGCATTATAAAATTAGCTAAAAATCTTTTTTGTTCATTAGGATATATTTGGATTTTGCAGCATAATTTTTACCACAAAAAAAAAGACTTTCATTTATTTAAATTTTCAAAAATTTTAAATCCAACTGAAATTAAATTTAAACTATCACATTTCTTATCGAAAAATCACAATTTTATAAACTTGTTTTTAGTCTTTTATTTTACTTCCGATGTTAATTAATAGTTCTGATAATAATTCTATGTTGAAATATCAAGCATTTATTGTCTACAAAAATAAAATCATTCATGGTGTTTTTTGCTCATCCAATGTCCTAAAACATACCATTATTTAATTTCAAAAATCTAATTAAATGAAATGTTATTTGGAGTAATTCTTTAATAAATATATTAGACTTATTTTCAAATCAATCTTCAAACAGCACTTTTTGTAACATCATGTTTCAATCAATCTGCTTGGAAATATAAATTAATTCTTTTATTAATATTGTAAAGCACTAAATAAAGATGATTAAAAGCTCAACATAAATTATAACTAAAAATATAATTTAATTTAAATATAAATATGATCAAAAACTAATTTAAAATTAAATTAATTTTTATATTATCAACTAAAAGTAATTCAAAACTAATTGAAAAAACAAAAAAAAATTTACATTTAAAGCTCATGAATAAACTTGTTAAGATGCTCGATTAAAGCACAATATAGACTTAAAGCCTCATATAAAATACAACTAAAAAAATTATTAAATTTACTCAAAATTTTCAAAAAAATATAGCATATTTAATTAATATAAAAATACTTTTGGAGAAAGCAAAACTAAAATCTAAAAAAAGAAGAGAGAGAAATAAAAAAATTGAGATAATCGGTTTCTTATTTGTTTATTGTTTAGAATGATTTACATACATACCACTCATTCCTATGTATTTACATATCTAAAACCTAAACTTTAATTTTAACAAATATGTCACCTTATCTATAGATGAACAAGTGTATTTCACTGTTAAAAGAAAAAAATAGACGCATATTTTATGTGATGTGATGTGAATGATTTGGGTGATGCAAATGACTAAATTGCTCATCCATATAAATTAAAATCATAAAATCGGGGTGGGCAAAGCAAGCTTGAGAGGTTAAGCAAACAACGTAAATATCCTTGTATTATCTTCAGCAATTCTTCTATCATCATACCCTTACTTGGCATTCCTATTTATTAAATTGACTGGAATAAATCATTAATACTTTTATGTTAAATGTGATCATCGAAAAATTATATATTCTTTAGTGTCACACACACACACACACACACACACACACACACACACACACATGATGGCTTCGTCGCTCTCGCTCTCGTTCTGCTAGGGTTCGCCCATGGCCAACCCTGGTTTCTCTGATTCATTGATTCACTGCATCTTCATTGATTTCGTCTTTCCTCGTCTTCGTCATCGCGTCACAGCGGCTCGTTGTATCTCGTGATTCAGCGGCTCTCATGTGAAGGCGTCAGGCTCGGGGGCGACATTGGAAGGACGTCTGGGCTCCAGCTTCTTCTGCGGCTCGTACTTTCGTCATTCCGAGAAGCGCGTGCTCCTTCTGCGGCTCGCGGCTCGTTCTCCATCACCCCGAGAAGCGCGGGTTTCTTCTACGGCTCTTGTCGTCGCTCGCAGTACTGTAAAAGACGACTGGGCGCGAGCTTTCCTCTGGCTTGAATTGCCCACTGCTCGACTTCCCTTTCGGCATTTGCTCTTTCTCTATTGTCGCTTTGTTGTCCCACAGCCCCACCTTCTTCTTTTGGGGATGGCTTCGGACAGATCGTATGTTGCTGCCCTTGCACGTCTCAGGTACACCTAAATCGTCATCTTTTCTTCCTTCATTTGAGTAGGCGTAGGACATCAAGAAGCCTGGTAGGAAGAATGGGAAGTCTGCCATCTTTTTTACATAAGACGATGGTATTCAACTTGTTTCCTCCTGTCGTCTGAATTTGATTGGGAATATTCTATAGGGTCATCCCAAAATGGAGTTCATTCGCAAAGAATTTGAACTTATGCACCTTGTTGGAGAGTGAAAAATTGGACTATTTGATGAGAGACACGTTCTTATTCAAATTAACAAGAAGAAAATTACATGCGCTTATTTGCTAGAAGGATAATCTGGATTGATAACAAAGCAATGAAGATTTTGAAATGGTCTTTGGACTTTGACCCACATGCGGAACCGCCAAGCGTTTCGGTTTGGATTTGCCTCCCTGGTCTGAAATTTCATTATTTTTCTCAAAAAGTGTTGTACTCTATTGCTTCAGCTTACGGAAATCCACTCAATACGGACATTCTTATTTTTAATATTTATCGTTCATCTGAAGTCAAAATACTTGTTGAAAGAAACATCACTTCACCCGTTTCTAAGAAAATCTAGTTGGGCACACAACACCATCAATATTGGCAGAAGATAGAGATTGAGCATTTTCCATCGTATTGTTCGAACTGTCATATGTTCGGCCACTCCAGTTCTCAATGTCACCATCTACACCCCCACCTCAAACCAAAAAAATAAAGTGTTCCGCTAGAGGCTGTGATTTCATCTCATCCCAATGAGCACCATGTTTTTGACACTATTGATCATCAGAAGAATACCCCAGAAGACTTCAATATCTCTGTAGGCAATATGACATCCATTCATTCCCTAATTGTAGTTCCCCAGTCTTTGGAACCTCCTATCACGGGGAAGAGGGAGATTCTTCAGACTCCGCCTGCCATAGAACCTATCGCCGATAATACAGGTAGAAATACTTTTGTTGTTTCACTACCACCTCATCAGGACCAGAAAGATGTTAATGTTACTCAGACTCATGAGGATCATGATGTGCGATGATCTACATCTGTCTGACCACCTTTGGAATCTACTGATCAGATGAGTCAATTTTCGGATGAGGAATGATAAGTCTGCACATTCAGGAGGAAGAAGAAAAATGGAGATCTACTCGAGCTCAGGAATCTGATGGATGATACTTTGGTTACTACGGGCAATGGTACTCACCTTACCAATTTGTTAACCGGCTCGCTTCCGAGAACTCGAGGTAGGATAACTAAAGTGGGACGTCCCTAGCATTTTTTTGCCCTTTTGTGACTTTTTGATTTTTTGTCTTTATATAT